TTGAGCGAAGGCCAGCCACCGGTCCCCCCCCCCCCAAAAAAAAATAAACACTGAGATCTGGTGGGGGCTGGTGTTTGAGATGCCGGAAGAGTCTACGTACTCCAGTGGGAGCGACTTATGCATTGGAAGGGTGAGCCCTTCTGGCCAATGGGGAGGAGCAGCGTGATTGTAAAGCCTGACCAGGAGGACCTGAGTTGCCTCAACTGGAATAGCTCACGGTGTTGCGTACGGTCCCTACTGGCTGACAAGCCCCTGCTGATCAGTGGGCAGAGGGCAAGTAGCTGACCGAGAGGGCCCATGAAGCCTCCGACTGGAGATCAAGACTCAGGACGACGGACGAGTGGGTCCTCTCGGTTTGGCAAGGAGAACTCTCACGACATCCGACGGGAGTTCAATACTCACGGCATCAGATGGGTGAGCCTCGCCTGTAGTCGACAGAGAAACATATTTGCTCCACCGGGAGCGCTCTTGCAGCATCTGACAGGGAGTTCAATGCTCAGAACAATTTGAGTTGTCTAAAAGGGTAGATGCTATGAGGATTACTTTGCGTAACTGTTTGACAAATTCAATAAGCTGCTTCTGATAACACGTCAGAAAATCTTCGTGCTGCATTGCATCCGAAAGTTAAGTGCACGACAAAATAGAATTTCCTGTGCCAGCGTACCCCAAATAAGTCCATGAATCTGGATGGATAGGCATAGCTTTGAAAGCTGTGTTGATTTCGACTTTTGCCAGCCAAGTGCTAAGACCCGTGATTTTATCATATTAATTGCATGATCAATGTCCTACTATTGAGAGAGAATTAGTCATGAAAGTTAAAATGAACAAAATCCTTTCTTCCATATATCCCAGAAAATGATTCAAATATAGAATATTATGAATAGACTACAGAGAGCAAGGTAATGTGCCTCAACTTGACCATTTCAGTACATTTTAGCACTCAGACAGATATGTTCTATGCATATTGTTTTGATAGAAGAAAACATGATACAACTCTAATTTCAACATTATTTATTCTTCAGACATTGTTCTTTATATAAAATAAGTATCGGCTGTATACAAAGTGACCAACATTTGGTTTTTGACCACTGAAAATGGGTAATATTCAACAATCTGGACTTGGAGCCTCATTGAGTTCCCCATTACTCTGGGAGTGAATGATGTGAGGCCTTGAAAATGAAAATTCCTATTGCGATATCTTTAATGCTTCTTGAATAGGCATGCAACTTTGAAAAATGAATATTTATGGCTCTTAGACAGACATGTTCAATGCAGTTGTTTTGACAGAAGGAAACGAGATACATTTCTAGTTTCAACATTATTTATTCTTCAGAAGTTCCTCTTTAAAAAAAAAAAGTGCACGATTTAACGATTTACTCCTGGAGCCATATTGAAATTCCAATATCTCTGGAACTGAACCATATAGGGACTTAAAAATTAAGATGCCAAAAGGAAAGTTTGTTAAGACGCAATATCTAAAAGGCATTAAGATATCTTTAATACTTCTTGAGTTACAGGCATGCAAACTTTGGAGAAACAAAATTTGAAAAGTGCTCTTTCCACATTTTTGAATGGTCACTGTTGGCACATAATGTAACAAAGATTGCTAAAGTCAACAGATTCTACTAATAGACCAACCAATCTCTGTGTAATAATAACATTATGATGCTGCCATCTTCCTGAAGTAATTTTTACACCCCTGTTACACTCTTAAAAATAAAGGTGCTTCAAAAGGTTCTTCAAGCGATGCCATAGAATAACCATTTTTGGTTCCACAAAGAACCATTTAGTCATATGTTTATAAAGAACCATCTCTTTCTTACCTTTTTATAATCTGAAGAACATCTTAGGATGTTAAAGGTTCTTTATGGAACCATTTAGACAAAAAGGTTCTTCAATGGCATCATGAAGCACCTTTATTTTTAAGAGTGTATTTGGCTCTGAATCTCAGATGAAAATTGCCATTTTGACCCCCCCCCCCCCCCCAAAAAAAAATAAACACTGAGATCTGGTGGGGGCTGGTGTTTGAGATGCCGGAAGAGTCTACGTACTCCAGTGGGAGCGACTTATGCATTGGAAGGGTGAGCCCTTCTGGCCGATGGGGAGGAGCAGCGTGATTGTAAAGCCTGACCAGGAGGACCCGAGTTGCCTCAACTGGAATAGCTCACGGTGTTGCGTACGGTCCCTACTGGCTGACAAGCCCCTGCTGATCAGTGGGCAGAGGGCAAGTAGCTGACCCATGAAGCCTCCGACTGGAGATCAAGACTCAGGACGACGGACGAGTGGGTCCTCTCGGTTTGGCAAGGAGGACTCTCACGACATCCGACGGGAGTTCAATACTCACGGCATCAGATGGGTGAGCCTCGCCTGTAGTCGACAGAGAAACATATTTGCTCCACCGGGAGCGCTCTTGCAGCATCTGACAGGGAGTTCAATGCTCAGAACAATTTGAGTTGTCTAAAAGGGTAGATGCTATGAGGATTACTTTGCGTAACTGTTTGACAAATTCAATAAGCTGCTTCTGATAACACGTCAGAAAATCTTCGTGCTGCATTGCATCCGAAAGTTAAGTGCACGACAAAATAGAATTTCCTGTGCCAGCGTACCCCAAATAAGTCCATGAATCTGGATGGATAGGCATAGCTTTGAAAGCTGTGTTGATTTCGACTTTTGCCAGCCAAGTGCTAAGACCCGTGATTTTATCATATTAATTGCATGATCAATGTCCTACTATTGAGAGAGAATTAGTCATGAAATCGAGGTGTTTATGCTTGAGTTATGCGGAACTGTTTGTTATATGAGTCTTATCACTCAGCATACCTGGTTAAAAATGTCACCGCTCGCCACTGACACACACACACACACACACAGACACACATACACACACACAGACTCTCACTCACTCACTCACTCACTCACACACACGCACAGGCTCACACACACACACACACATACACACAGACTCGCACGCACACACACACACACACACACACACACACTCACACACACTCACACTTGCATGGTTTTCTACCCAACATTCAGTTTAATTGATTCAACACTGAACTAAATTGATCTGAATAATGAGAACTGCTTTACAGCTGAAAGCTGTGCAGTATTAACACTGTTATTTCCTGTTTATCACTGTGGAGCTGCTTTGAATCAGTCTGTATTGTATAAAGTGCTATAGAGATAAATTTGTCTTGACTAGTCAGTGTAAGTCATGTCAGATTGATGTGTTTTATGCGTGTGCAGGCGTGAGAGCGCAGACGTGTGGAAAGTGGTTCTTGGCATCAATAATCTGGATCATCCATCTCCATACATGCAATCGCGGCATGTCAAAAGCATCATCGTCCACTCGCGCTACAACCGGGCCGTGGTGGACTATGACATCAGCGTGCTGGAGCTGGAGACCGAGGTAGAAGTGACCAGTTACGTGCGTCCCGTCTGTCTGCCCGGCCGCGGACAGCTGCCCAAAGCTGACCAGTACTGCCACATCACGGGCTGGGGACACATGGGGAACAGAAGTGAGTGGAGCACACACACACACACACACACACACATGTGAGGGGTCAAAGGTGACAGAATGAGCATGTTTAGGTGAACAGTCCCTTTAATGGATTATTCAGTGACTAGATTTAGTTGAGTAATTATATGCTGATACTAGTAGTGTTGGCAGTAGGGCTGTGCAAAAAATCGAATGTTACAGCTCTGTGTAGTAAATGCCACTCCATCTGAAAGCACGTGCTGGAGATTTACTACTAATCACAGGAGCGGCTTTACTGACGAGATGCGCATTTGATTTTTTGCACAGCCCTAGTTGGCAGAGTTGTAGTTGTCCTATAAAGCCGGGCAGCTCTTTCCAGCACTGATGCTGATGTAGATTTATGTGCTAGAGGCTGCTAGTTTTCTCTCAGCGTGAGCTCCTGCAGCCAGTGATGCAGTGACTGATGGACAGTGCTGGGTAGTGACTGATTACATATAAATGTCAATTTAAATACTCGTAATCAGACTATATTACTTTTGTTACGTACGAACCCCCTGCAGTTTGGTAAATCTTGATGTAATGTTTAATGCACTTCATGTTGTTAATAACGAATGGAATATATTTTCTTTCATTTTGTATTTTTATATCAATATGGTATAACAGGGTGTCCGCGGGGTCTTAAAAAGTATTAAAAGTTGATCAATCAATTTAGAGAAAATTAAGGCCCTTAAAAAGTATTAAAAAGTCTTAAATGCCATTTTCCAAGGTATTACATTTTGTATCATCTTTTCATGATGTATATTTGTCGAATAGTGGGGTTCTGTGTAGTTTATTTGAGGTCATGTGTCACGGCGCTCACTGACTGACAGCGCCGCTGCGTGATAGCCGGGGCTTGTTGATCCTGCTCTCGCTGAACTGCTCACCATTACAGGACGCTCCCATCCGCTCCCACCATTTTTGTGTCCGCTTCTGCAAACATTCTAATATTGTATATAATTTATCAGGGCGCCGGCTATCAATACAGTGGGGAAAAAAAGTATTTAGAATGCTTGTACTGAAACATTTTGCATTCTACCTGTAATAAAACTGTGCTAAATGTTTTGGGCCATACTAGTAGGAAGCATTTGAGCTGTGTTTATGATAAATGTGCATATCAGTGACTGTAAAATATGTATTTTAGGGATGGAAATGACATCTTTATATTTGGAACAAGGTAATTGCGCTACTTTGGGCTGTTTTTTTTTACCTGCATGGGCTTGGGATGCTTAATTAAAATGATGTAATAGTTGTGATCATTATTTGACCTTCCATGATCATTCAGACCTGATCAGGTACAGTACTGATGTAACGAGGGGTCAGAGGCGTGCGGATCCATTTGCAGCTTTTATTAGAATCAATGGCAGAGTCAAACAGGCAGTAATCAATCATCAGCGTCAAGAACAACAGGGACAATCCAGGAGAGTAAACAGTAACAGAGCGAGGGTCGGGGCAGGCGGCAGAGAATCACACTAGTAAGAACGGTCCAAGGTAATACACAAGAGATCAAAAGACAGGGGATAAATGCTCAGAAATGTAGCCGGGGCAAAACAAGACTTCGCGAAAACTAAGTAGGCTTGTCAAGTCCACATTTTTTCCCCCCGATGAAATTGGGCTGCTTTTAAACTGTTGCCATGGGTTGATTTTCCCCTGTGGGTTAAATGTTTGAAATATTGCATAAATTGGAGTCCAAGAACGATAGTACTCGGGAGAGGGTGCCCTCCAGAGGCGGTCGGAGAGAGCCACAGAGGCCTGATTTGTGACCACTGACACTCTGTCAAGTGTGCATCAAATCAAGCGCTCCGTAATCACAGGTAAACTGTCTGATCAGTCAGGTGTTTGTCATGAGAAGTGCTCCACAAAACAGCTATGGTTTGCAGACAGTTATAAGAGTTAATGTGACAAATACATATTTTTAATATATCGTGTGAACTCATTGTCCCGTTAGCTCGGAGAGCTTTATTTATATTTTGTGCTTCGTTCCCCCCTCCTGAATTATGTTGTATTGATAAGGAGTTATCACAAAGTAAGTCTGTTTAGTTGTGCTATCTTATAATCAATATATAGTAAATGTAAGTTAAAGTTTCGCCAATGTAACCGGTTAAAACTTGGAGTGGCGATGAAGTCTTAAAATGTAAGGAAAGAGTCTTAAAAAAGGTCTTCAAAGGTATTAAATTTAACTCCACAATTCCTGTATATACCCTGTATAAGATTATCCTATTTAAATCAATGTGATAAATGAGTTAGGTCAAAAGTAATCCAAAAGTAGTCTGCTTATATAATAATTAATAATAATAATAATAATAATAATAATAAATTTTATTTAAAGGCGCCTTTCAAAGCACTCAAGGACACCGTACAGTGGAGTGATAATCATAAAATCAAAACATCAATACAACTATTGACATTAAATAATTTAAAATTAATCAGAGAAAGCTAATTTAAACAAGTTTTAAGACATGATTTAAAAGTAGTCATACCGTCACTTTCTTGTATAGATTGTGGAAGAGAATACCAGAGATTAGGAGCAGCACAACTAAATGCTCTAGACCCCATAGTAGCTAAACGAGCAGAAGGTGCAACAAGGGAAACAGATGAAGAAGATCTGGGAGTACGCTTCGGGATGTAAATATGAAGCAAATCAGAGAGATATGGTGGTGCAAAATTATGAAGAGTTTTAAAAGTGAGAAGTAGAATCTAGACTTTTAACCTGAGCAGATGGGGAGATTATAGAGTTATCAACAGAAAGTGAAAAACTATTGGATTTTGACAAATTAGATTTGGTACCAAGAAGGAGAACTTCTGTTTTGTCAATATTCGGCTTGAGAAAGTTACGCGAAAACCAGGATTTAATCTCTTCTAAGCAACCCAAAAGAGAGGAAGAAAGAAGGGTAGAATTTGGCATAGAAGATAAATAAAGCTGGGTGTCGTCGGCATAGCAATGAAAACTGATGCCATATTTCCTAAAAATGTTACCAAGGGGTAGTATACAAATAATAAATAAAAGAGGGCCCAGAGCAGAGCCTTGAGGAACACCAGCTGTAACAGGTGAAACGTATGATCTGAAAGTTTTAAGTTGAACAAATTGTGTGCGCCCAGAGAGATAAGATCTGAACCAACTAAGAGGGACACCAGTAATACCTATAGAGAGTAGTCTATCTAAGAGAACTTGATGATAAATTGTATCAAAGACCGCAGTTAAATCGAGTAGAATAAGTATAGTAATAGTCCAGAATCGGCTGACATCAGCAGATCATTAACAACTTTTACCATGGCAGTCTCTGTACTATGCAAAGGCCGGACACCGGATTGGAATTTTTCAAACAGGCTATTTTTTAAAAGATGGGAATGAACCTGAGATGCAACAACTTTTTCCAAAATTTTTGAGAGAAAGGGCAAATTGGAAATTGGGCAAAAGTTGGCAAAATTATTAGGGTCAGCTCCCGGTTTCTTAAGTCTTGGAGTGATTACAGCAACCTTAAAAGATGAAGGAACCACACTAGAGTTGAGAGACGAGTGTGTAATATCGGTTAGTATACCAGAGAGAGAAAATAAATACGTAGGATATTATTTACTGTATTAAACAATGACCTTGTATTCCCTTCATCTAACCCAATTATATTAGAGTAGTAATCAGATTTAGCGGTTAGAAGAGCATTCTTGTAAAAGAGCATATGATCTGTGTACATATCTTTATGAACATTGAGTCCAGTTTTAATGTATAAACGTTCCAAGCGACGCCCCTTAGTTTTAAGCTGTCTTAGTTCTGGTGTAAACCAAGGTGCAGAATGAGTAAAATAAACAGTTCGAGTTTTTAAAGGTGCAAGTGTATCAAGCACACTGTGCAGTCCCTCGTTATAATAAGAAACCAAGTCATCAGGAGTAGCGAAAGCATTGCTCCTGAAGAAACTGTCCAGTCCATCAGAAAGAGCAGATAGATCGATGTTCTTGATATTGCGAAATGAAATGGAACGACCCATATTGTTTTTTTCAACCATTAAGTTAACACTGAATGATATTAACTTATGATCTGATATGGGCAAGTCTAAAGCATGACAGTTGGAAGGTGTTACACCAGAACAACAAATAAGGTCAAGAATATGGCCTTTAAAATGAGTTGGAAAATTGACAAATTGCTGTATTCCAAAACTATCAAGGCATGATATAAAATCTCTAGTGAGAGTATTGTTGACATTGTCCACATGTATATTAAAATCACCCAATGTAATAACATTTTGAGATTTAGAACTCAGTAAAGTTAAGAATACAGAAAAATCATTTAAAAAACTAGTATTGCTCCTGGGTGGACGATAAACAGTGACTACAGCAGTAGAAACAGGCCCATTAATTTGTAAAACAGTGGACTCATACAGAGGCACGTTCATGAGAGAAACTTTCCACTTCTCATTATAAAGTATCACAAGCCCTCCACCTCGGCCAGACGCGCGAGGTTGACATGTGTAAACAAAGCCAGGAGGGACAGATTGATTAAGCTGGGAAAAATCATGGGATTGTTGCCATGTTTCAGTGAGACAAAGGAAGTCAAACTTACTGTCATTCAGGAGATCATAAATAAGAGGTCCTCTGTTTGTTAACAAGCGAATATTAAATAAACCAAAAATAAGATCAGTCGTACCGGATTTGATGCTAGTTGTCCTGGTGATATTGGCCAGCACACTGTGGTCGACAGTCTGTATTGACGCT